CCCCCCCCAACTGTTTCCAAAACATTCTAGGCTCACAGCGTCCAGATGCTGGGAGGGCCCGGGCCTGTGCACCAGGTTGAGCTGGACCCTCTGACTCAGCTCTCTCCAGGAGGTCCCGGAACCCAGTTCACTCCCCAGGACGCCTGCCACCCCTCCCCAGACGGCTGGGGTCTCCCAGGGGAAGGGGAAAGGAGCCCTTGCAAACTGTGTGCGGAGGCCGAAGTTCTCCCTGCTTTTGAGGCGGATACGGTGCCTGAGCCCCCAACCCTCCCCCCAGCCCAGCATTCGCTGTGGCCTGAAGTTTGCCTTTGTGACCAGCTACAAATATCATCCTACTCGGTGACCATGTGGGTCAGATTTTAGAGGAAAACATTTATTCTGGGCGATGTTGAGAGAGAGACCTCGGTGCTTTCTAGACCCTGGCCTTGACCCCCGCTTGCTGCGTAGTCTGAGAGATTTTACTTCTTTATGGAGCAACTGTTTTTTAAGAGGTTGGGATGCACAAAAAACACAGTGGCGGCACAGTGGAGGGTGGAAAGGTGAATGAGGGCGGGGTGCTCCCTCTGAGAAGCCTGAAGGTAATGGGACAGATGCGCACACACACACACACACACACACAGCTATCTCTGAGGGAGAGGTGCGCACCCCCCCCCGGGGACCGAGGACAGAACTGGGTGATCTCAAGGATTCCCCTGGATGGGCGGGGCAGGGGTGTCCCAGGGACACTCTTGGCTCTCCATCTGGCTGTGGAAATGCTGTCTGGAAACCGTAGCTGGTTGTGTGAGCTGGAGGGCGGGCCACGTGGAAGGGACTCCCCCTAAGTGCCACAGCCCAGGTGTGGCTGGGGCAGACAGGCCCTCTCAGGTGGGGCAGGAAGAGCCGCGCACATTCTGGGACTCGGCCACCACGTGCTTCGTGCATTTGGCACGTGCTGGTCTCCTGTGCCTCACAGCGGCCCCGGGAGGTGGGGGCTATTTTCATACTAAGCCCCAAATAGGAGGCGGATAGAGGGGGTCTCAGGTCCTGGCCTGGCTCCTGAGCCTTCAGCCTGGGCGCCAAGCCGGGCTTCCCCTGTGCGACACACGTCTCCAGGGAGGCGCCTCGGGCTGTTTCCCACACTCTGCCATCCCTCAGCCCCGCCGTCTCCGCGCCACCTCCGCACCCGTCTCTTCAATCCTGACTTACTTTTGAACTGTAACGTCATATCACCAACTCAAATAGAAAACGGGTATCGCTTGTCATTTAAAAATAAATGCAAATGACTATTATTGTATTGCGCATTGACTATGAACGAGATAAAGTCTGGCTAGATTTGGGGGGCCAGCCTGGGCAGGGACCTGCCCTCATTGCTGGGAAATTATAGATACCAGAGAGGCGTTGGGGACACACCAGCTCAGCGGGGAGTGACTAAATGATTGGGGTTACCATCCAGTTCACAAACCCCACTTTGAGGACCCCCGGCTCTAACATGCGGCCACAGGGCCCTGGGCTGGACTTGGCTCCAGGCCGGGGCTCCAGCCCAGGCAGGACTTGGCCCTTGAGGGAGCCGCTGTCGCTCTGTGGCGGCCTCCGAGCCTCTCAGACGGGGTTCTGGGAAAGCTGTATAAGCTCCCTCTCAGGCTGCAGTGGAATCTACCCGACAGCTCCAAGATCCAATGTTTATGTGATTCAGTGAAGGGAAATATTTTTAAAGTAAGTCTTCTCGGACAGAATTCGAGGGAGGTGGTGTACAAGTGAGTCAGAATGTTGAGTCTTCCTTCCAAGACATCGGTTTGAGAAATGAGGGGGAAATCGCTCGGAGTCACCTCCTCCCCACCCCCACCCCAGCCAGCCGGTGGGGGCAGGGCCCACCCTGGCTCTGAGGATGGGGAAAACCAGGCCGGAGATGAAGGGACTTACTCAGGCTCACACACAGCGCTGCCCTCCTGATCGCGGCCACCACCCCGCTGCCCACGTACCCACCACGCCACGCCCCCTGCCAAATTCCTTTAAATAATTCTCTGACATCTGATTTTATGACCCAGGGTCCCAGTAGGAAAGAGAGAGTGCATTCAAACTGGGTAATATGAACAGGATGTTTACAGAGGGTTCAGAAAGTGTGTGGGGTGCTACAAGGGCCTCTGAGCTGGCACAGCCACGGTCCCACTCCACACCCTCCCCAAGTGAGGCCTGAACTAGCAAAAGGAGGTGGCAGTTACCGGCCTCCACAAGGGACAGCCAGCCCCGGAGGCCCCCAAGGAGGGAGCTAAAGAGGAAACACCCCTTCCTCTCTCTCTCCTCCCACCCTCAGGCTCCTGCTGCAGCCCCCACTGGCCAAACCCCATGGGAAGCCAGGTGGCAGAGAGCCCAGTGTGGTCCCCAGGGGTCTGCAGGGAGAGTGGCCTGGAGCATCCCTCCACGGCCCCCACACGGGAGTCCTGCCCAGCACATACCCCCCCCACACACACCTCCAAACAGATACAAAGGAACAGCTAGAATGGCCTCAGGCTCCCACTTCTCTGGGGTCCTTAAACCTCCTGGGCTCTGGGCTTCTGGAGAGATAAGAGCCCTTGACTTTGTTTTGAAAATGAGAGCAATGTTTCCAGCCATTAGCAAGCGATTAGGATCCAGCTGGGCAGATTGGGCCAGATCTGGGGTCACCAAGCCAGGCAGACTGGTGAGGGAACATCGGGCTCCTGGCCAGGTGACTGAGCTGGGGGCCTCGCATTACCTGACAGCTGTCACTGTCCCCAAGGAAACGGGAGAACCTGGCCGGGGAGTTCAATTTCTCTCTTCCCCACTGAATCTCAGCACCCAAAAAACACTCAGTGACTGTTGTTGAGAAATGAACGATTCAGACACATGACCCCCAGTTGAATCTGCTTTCCATGGGTCAGGCAGGGCCCAGCAGAAAGGCAGCCGCAGGTCTTCTTCCCCTCCCTGGAGCCCCTCCTTGAGGACCAGGACTTTGCCGCTCACCGCATCCCATGCAAGTTCGGATCTGGACCTCAGGTCCGCCGGGGGTTCCTGCAAACCTTTAACGGGTGTCCATCGAACAAGGTCCCCTTCCTTTCCTGTTTACCAGTCGGGCTTTTCATTTCTAATGTGCTCAAATTTCCTGAACGAGCTTCCCCTGCCTTATCTCCACCTCCCACCGCTGAGCGAGGACAGCTGGCTTCTGCGAGCCCAGTGCCGTTTGCAGACTCCCCCGGCTGAGGAGGGGCTGGGGCTGGGGCGGGATCGGGGCTGCACCCGCGGGCACACGCACATGCACACATGCGCTCAGCTTTGCACACCTTCCCAGGCAGGAGCGAGAGGGCCCGTGGGATCCTGGAGAGAGCTCCAGGTCCGGCACCGAAGGGTCAGTTAAGACTCTGGGACACGTCACTGCACCTCTATGCACCCCATTTCCTCCTGGGCAAGGCAAGCATACCCCAGATGCCTGCCTCCCAGGGGTGCAGTTAACCATGAGGAGGGCAGAGAAAGGCTTTGTCCCTAGAAGCCCCGCTGGGCAGAAAGGCTTGCACCTTTCACCTGGGACACAGGTGGGGCCCGGCTCAGAGCCTGAGAGCACATTGTCATGGTCACCACAGTGGGTGGAGATGCTCATCTGTACCGTGTCCCTCATTACTCTCTAAGCTCCGCGAGGTTCTGTCACATCTCCATCACAGCAAGGTGAGCCTGTCCTCAGGTCCAGACCCCTCCCTGAGCTCCAGACCCACGCTGGGCCCAGCGGCTACTTACACCCACACCTGCAAGTCACAAAAGCACTCGGACTTAACAGGTTCAAGTCTTAGCCCGTGATCCTGTTTCTCCGAGTCAGCCCACCCCCTTCTTCCCTTCACAGGAGATAGCAGCACCCAGGCGTGGGGAGCCCTTGGCACTTTTTCACCCCCATCCCTGACCCCCCCCCCATTTCCAACTTTGCACTGGGCATGTCAGTTTCAGTCTCTGAACACCTCTGGAGCTCATCCTCCCCAGGCCCCATCATCCCGTGCTGATTCCTCCCCAGGCCCCATCATCCCGGGCTGATTCCTCCCCAGGCTCCATCATCCGGTGCCTAAACTAATGGGCTGCACCATTAGTTAACCAGTCTCCCTCTTCCACTCTACTCCTCGACTCCCCACCCACCACAATCCCATCTCCCCCAGCAGCCACCAGGGCTTAACACACATCCACACCCAGCTTCTTCCTGCCTCGGGGCCTTTGCTCCCGCTGCTCCTTCTGCCGAGACATCCTCCCCACCGCCATCCCTCACCCAGCTTACTCCCGCCCACCCTTGGGTCTCATAATAAACACCCATCCCCTGCCCCAGGCTGCTCTAGGACCCGTGTGACGTGCTGTCTTGGGCCTTGTGTTTTATTGCCTGGCACTTACATCAGTGTTCAGCTGTGCAGAGGCTACTTGAGCAGCATCTGCTCTTCCTTCTGCAGGAACCACAAGCTCCTGGGGGGCAGACGTGCGCCCTCCTCCCCGTCACGTCCCCAGCATCCAGTATAAGGTCAGTCTGCTAAGTGAGGGCTCCATGTCCCTGCCTCGGGAGAACACGTGTGTTTTCTGGCCCCCAGCCTGCCACCCAACCACCTTTCTCTTCCAGGTAACACAGGTGAGGCCGCACTCACGCCCCTCACAGTCCAAATGTTCTCTACCTGGAACAGGCCAATATTCCTGTCCTTTCACGAAGACCTGGCACCCACCACAGCTTATTTCAGGTGAGTCAAAGGGATTCCTCAGTTTACCATTTAC